TAAAGTTTGTGAATGCAAATAATAATACATCACTCTTAGTAGATATTGAATGTTTTTTGTTAAATTAGATCGATTTTCGAATCCTAAAATTTAAAATATATTTTACATTTTACCCATTATCTTATCTACCTATTCATTATTTGTATATTGTAAAACATTTGCTGCATTTGTATGGTTCATAGTTTATTTGCCAAAGTATTTATTACTGTAAATAGGTATATATATATATTGTATTTATTAACTGTATATTATGTATATATTTCATGTAAACTATATCATTTTTAAATACAAACGAAAAATACGAGGAATTATTATGTTGTAGAATTACCATAGTATATCCATAGTATCTAACTAGCGTGACATCATAATTCTCGCTCCAAGGCTGGTCTATTAGAGACGGCATTCCGTCAGCATGGCCGCAAGTTGCTAACCTAATAAAATTAACACTAGAAAAGCCCGCGGGAACTGTCAAATTTAAAGCTATTCGTTTTACAAACAATAGCATTATACTCCTTCCTTAATCTCAAGAATTTAAAAATATATCTTTTTACAGAGTGAGTCTTCAATAAATGGAAATATTTTCAGGGCTGGTAGATCTCGATAAAAGAAACGTATTTTCCCTTTACTGTTTTACAAATAAATCTAAAATAACCGAGATATTCTACTTTGAAAAATTCCAAAAAAAATATTTTGTTAAAATTTTGAGAACCACTGGACCTTTTCTGGATTTTCTTACTTGTAAATTTGCAACTAAAAACTAAAAAACTTTCCAAATTTTTTTTTTCAAAAAATTCCAAATTTTCATTTTTTTTCGCAAAAAAAACTCATAATCTTGTTTCTGTGGTCGAAATATACTACCCCTAAAAATATATGCACTTATTTAAGACTCACCCTGTATAAATTAAAAATCTTCTCTCTAGCACAAAAATTTCATTCACTATCCTAGCACAAAAACCGAGAATATATATAAAACTAAGAGTACAATGCGCCGTAATGACGTAAAACTTTTTAAAACCCATTTATTATTATTTTCTTTTATTTCCCAGTTGTTATGCGGTACTTTACATGAAATATGAGTTCTGCGAAGATAGCTCTTTAGTCATTTTAAACAAATGTTTTTAGGGAAGATTTATTCTTCTAATGGTACGCAAAAAGCTTTTACCGCCTCGGGGAAAACACGTACGTGTGCATATATGAATGTATTGGTATTTTAATAACGGTTTATTTGCTGGTTAATGCGAAAATAATATAGTTTAGAAATTTAAAAATTATTACTCAAGAATACTTTCAATGTACTACTACTATACCCTAAATATCTGCAAAACCGTTAAAATGTCAGAATTCAAATACAAAATAGACTTATTTATTTATTCAATCTGAAAAACAAGAAAACATATTTTTATTTCAGCAAATGTGACATCGAATTTTGAAGACCCTGTTTAATTTACGATTGCGATATTCATAATAGAGTAAGTAAAGGGCAACTGTAGTAAACACGGAGCGTTGTTTTCAATTCATAACGTCAATTTGTATTCTTATTTTTTGAAAGAATGCTGCGAAATATATTATTATTTATTAATATTTTTATCCCAAACAAGGTCTGCTGGTAAACATTTTTAAGCTTCAAATACCACAACACAATTATTCATTTAAACCAAAAACTCGTAATACAAAACTAAAGTATCAAAACGAATGACAATGTCAGGAAATAAATACATAAATGTGGCAACTCGACATTTTTTACAGCAGAGCTATCACCTGAATCCCCCGCGCGAAATTTAAATTCCAGTTAGTCAGCCCGGCGCCGAATATGTCAATGGTTGGCAACAATGAATTTAAAAATTGCGCTCTCGATTACGTCACTAAAAGTTTAATTATAGCATCAAATATATAAATGTTTTTTTTTTCGAAAAATTATATATAATAGCTCTAAAAGCCTAAAAGGATCATGGCTTGATCGGTTATCTTTCTCCATTTGTTTCTGTCTTTCGCCTTTATTCTCCACCCATCCACTCTTATCCTTCTCAAGTTCTCTTCTACATCCTTTTTCCATCTGATTCTAGGTCTACCCTTCCTTCTCTTTCCACCACTATTTCACGTTTCATTATCATACTAGGAATTCTTGCTTCAGTCATTCTTTCAATGTGTCCCAGCCATCTCAGTCTTTGTGCTCTTGCTACTCCCGTTATACTCGGTGCCCGATATAGTTACTTTAATTCTTCATTTATTCTTCTGGTCCATATGTTATCTTCTTTCCTCCAAAAATCTTTCTCGGTATTTTTCTTTCCCAAATCTCCAGCCTCGAACTTTCCGTTGCATTGAACCTCTACGTTTCACATGCATACAGCACTATTGGTCGTATCATTGTTTGGTACATTCTGATTTTTAAACTTCTAGAAATGTTCTTACTCTTAATAATTTTCTGTAGTGCGCTGACACATCTATTTCCTGCCATTTCTTTTCCATAACAAGGGGCCGTCCTCTGCCGGAAACACTGTGACCTGTGAAGCCTATTGTGTTTGTCCCCCTTCTATATCTGCACCCATTCTCCTATCCATGTGCCCTGCACTAGCTTATGCAGATCTTTGATATGATGGGAGCATAGTTCCTCCGGTTCTAGCCTAGCTTTCCCAAATAAAGAGTGTAGCTTGCGATCCAGAGCCTCGCAATGACATATTATGTGCTCCGGTGCTTCAGGATCTTTATCGCAGAGTCTGCAGCAAAGACTTCCTTGATACAGGTTGAGCTTATTCAGATAACACTTGACAGCTATGTGTCCTGTCAAGAGGCCTGTTGTAATCCGCACTTTATTCCTGCTAAGGATTAGCAGTTCTTTTGCGGTTTTAGAGCTAGCTCCTTGGATAAAAGCCTTGCTGTGCCTGTGCCCCTGTCTGTTTCTCCAGTGGACATTGTGCTTGTCCTTGATCCAGAGTTTTAGTGGACTACGGGCCATACATTTGGGTATTCCCAGTACTGGCTCTGGACCAAGATAGGATGCCGATGATCCCTGCCTAGCTAGCTCATCGGCTTTTTCGTTGCCTTGGATGCCGCTGTGGCCCGGCACCCAGAATAATTTAATTCGGTTCCTTCGTGCCAGAGCTCCCAGTTCACCCAGGCATTCCCAGACGAGTCTCGACGATACCTTTGGGTTCACAAGCGCCCCAAGTGCCGCCTGACTGTCTGAGCATATATTGATGAGCTTACCTGAATAAGCTCTTCTATTGTTTTCTCTTGCACATTGTAGAATGGTTAAGATTTCTGTCTGGAATACGGTTGAGTGTTTACCCAAGGAAAAGGATAAGCTTGCCCTTGGTCTTTCCCCAAATACTCCAGCTCCTGTTCCTTCAGCGGTCTTTGACCCGTCTGTATACCAGGTTAGTCCCTTAGGTTAGTCCATCCTGAAGGAATGTTATATCTGTCCACATTCCTCGATCCATTTTGTTCACCTCGAATGGTTTGTGGTAGTAATAAAGAGGGGTCATTTGGTCCGATCTCATTTGGAGTAGAGATCCTCCGATAGAATCTCCCATCTTTAAGTGTCCTGTTTCTGTCCTATTTCCCGGAGACAAGACACTTTGTTGCGATAGAGTCCCATTCTTGCCTCCGCCTGGATCACTATGTGAAGAGGCGGAAGGTCCAGAAGCGCCTCCATTGATGCAGTGGGCGTTGATTTCATTGCCCCTGTTATGCTCAAACAAGCAAGTCTTTGCACCTTACTAAGGCTGAGCATTGTTGTTTGTTGCATTACCCTAGGCCACCATAACAAGGATGCATATGTTACTGAAGGCCTCACCACTCCAGTGTATCCCCCATCTGTGGTCTGAGGCCCCAGATTTTTCCATGAGGTCGTCTGACTACGGCTAGTGTAGTCACCGCCCTCCTTGTGACATTTTCTAAATGTCGGTTCCAGGTCAGTTTGGTATCCAGCATGATTCCTAGATACTTGACCTCCCCCGAGAGAGGAATCTCATCACCGCAGAGTCTTAGAGGTCCTAGTCACTCCAAAATTCTTTGTTTGGTGAAGGGGATTATTACGGTCTTTGTAGGACTGATATTTAGTCCCTCCCGTGTCACCCATGATTCCACAATCTTCAGGGCCCTTTGCATTCGCTCCCTTACTGTTGTGTTAAACTTACCTCTGACTAACACGACCAAATCGTCTGCGTATCCCAGAGTGCTGAAACCAGCCCTGTTGAGACTATCAAGCAGTCCGTCCATAACGAGATTTCACAGCAGAGGGGAGAGAACTCCACCCTGCGGGCATCCTCCCGCCACCCGGACTGCAACAGTCTAATTTAGTAGGGTGATATATGCCACTCGACTTTTGAGCATGCAGTCTATCCACCTGCAGCAGGTCTCCTCTAATCCGAGGTTCCTTGTAGCTCTCATCAGTGACTGAAATGAATTTCCTGCGATTGTTCTTGCCATAATTTCTTGAGTTACATTTGGATTCCTTAGAAACAGCGCTCCTAGATGTGTGAATGTACTTCCTCAAACTGTTATCGTTTACCTCTCTCAGAATTCATTTGTAGATATCTTCCCTTCTCAAAATCTCTATCTGACCACTCCATAAATTTCGTTTTCTTCTCATTAAACACTAAGCCTACTTTTTGCGCTTGATTTTCTAGGCTTTTGGTCACCGATATCAGCTCTTTCCGATCTCTGGCTAAGATAACTAAATCATCGGCAAAGGCTAAGCATTGGTGTCTTTTTGTATACAGAAGGCCCTCTCTGTTGATTCCCGCATCTTTTATAACTGTTTCTAATACTACACTAAACACTACTGGACACAGTGGATCCCGCTGTCTTAATCCGTCCCTAATTATAAATTTTTCCGTTGTTTTCTTGTTTACTTTGACTTCATTAAATTACTTACTTCGAAAAATTACTTTTCGAAAAATATCTTTTACGCCACTACATTATTTTTTCCTACCACAGAGCTTATTATATCATATTTTTTATCTGTCAATTTAAGCAATATAATTTTTTGATTGTTCCAGGTTTTCGACTACACCCAGTACTATTTGGACCTCTCCTCCGCTAATTATAACAGGAAAGCGGATTGGGTAGTCGAATATAACTTTAGCACTTACTACGGAATTAATGACATAACTCCTTTGAATTTGCATACTCTGGCAGACAAGTTTACACAAGAGGCAACTACTGACAACGGCGTTTTTAACAAGTAAGTCCGAACATTCAGACGGCTAATGGCTGGCATTTACCATTTTAATTATATTAACTGTCTGACACGTTTAATCTCGAGCGTTCTCCTCTAACGTTATAAGGATTATCTAGGTACACTTTGTTGCACCGGACGTAGTCTCTGCGTTCATTATTGAATACCATTCTGTTAAAGTTACTGCTCGTAATCTTTATGTATACCATATGTTTTCATAACTTACCAAACTAATTTTAAATTTAGAGACAAATAATACAGGGTGGCGCCTCTTACACGACGCGGAGGCTCCAAAGAGAACGGGAGTTTATATCGAAATTAAATATTTGGGAGCATACATATGTAAGTAAATTAAAAGCATTCTATAAAAAATATATAGAGTTCTACAGGAGCGCCCCCAAAAAAAGTTACGCATCAAAGTTGGGTTTTTTGTAATGGAACACCCTATATATTAATTGATTTTCGGATTCAAGGAAAAAAATAAAGGTGAGTTTCATTTAAGAAGCATATGCCTAAATTGTAAGGATTTTGACATATTTCACATTTTGTGAGAATAAAGAATAAATTTTAATAACAGCTACCTAAATTGTAATTTACCCTGTATAGCCTGATATTGAATTACAATAACCATTATATGTTAAACCAAAGCAAAATTTAACCGGAAAAGTTATACAGATATACAACTATAATATATACTGATACAACTATAATATATACTGGGTGTTTCATTTAAAATAAAAGAGTAATTTGCTTTTAAGGGTGACCAATGTTTAATATTAATTTTGTCTCACCATGTATAACTTTTTGGACCAATTTTTAATTTGATTTAAGGCACAATCGTTAATTTAGCTACATATTGGGCTATGCTAGGTAAATTCAAATTTAAGTAACTTTTATCGAAATTTAAAAATTGTTCTTCGTCTTTAGAAAATGTTAAATATGTAAAAAATCTTACATTTTACTCATATGCTCCTCTAATGACGCTCACCTTTATTTTTCACCTAGAATCCGAAAATCAATTAATATATAGAGTGTTCCATTACAAAAAACACAACTTGGATGTGTAAATTTTAAAGGGGATACCCTGTAGTAACTCTCCATATTTTTAAAAAATATTCTAAATTAACCTACATATACTCACAAAATTTCATTTCAACACAAACTGTCGTTTTCCTTGGAGCCTCCGCGTCGTACCCTGTACAATATGATTGTAAAAATGGCGTCAAACACGGCGGATATAAACTATACCTATCTGTATTTCCTGTTTTTACAAGTTGAAATAATGCATTTTTTTCTGTGTTATATATATTTTTTTTCATATTTAAAAAAATTACAAAGGGACACACAATTATCAATAATAGTTTTTAATAATTATGCACCAATTTCCACACTTTTGTTGGGAAAATTATGATCAAATAATTAATAATAATCGTTAATAAAACGGTGAACACTAAATTGCGTATAATAAATTGTCTGCCTGGACTATTAAATTTTAATTAATAACAACTCGAAATATCATCGCTATCAAATAAATTTCGTAAAATGGATCTATGACTTTTTATGCCACTCTTTATTCGTTTCACTCTGACATTTCACCAGTAATGACAAACTGAATCATTTATACATGCCTGCCGAATCAATAAAAACAATTTATTACATTTTTTGTACATATATTTTTTTCCTTTATTATTACCTCTTATTGTTGACCGATAGAAATAAGGAGTTATGTATTTACTAACGGTTTCAAAATATTTATAATAGTTAGTTGTTATTTTTCTATTAAGCTCATTCTTCAAAACATTTTTGCTTATAAAGTTCGTAAAATAAAAATAAATAAACTATTATTAGAAATCGTATTTTGCCGGTAAAACAGAAAACTAAAAAGTTATTTTTTGTAAAATGTCACTGGCGTTAGAATCCAATCCGGAAAACAGTTCACATACACAGTGAATTTTTACTAATAATACCTTTGAATAAGAAGACTAAGGAAGGAGCATATCAAAAATCTTAGGTCCACCGCGATGGGCCTCAAATATGGCCGACTTAAATTCCGGTTTATCAGTGCCGGTCTAATTTTATTTAAAAAATGTAAAACTATGATGTAGGGTAGACGTGGGGTAGACTCAATAATTTGTTAGTTTATTTTACGTTGTGAATAAATGTTGGTAGTTATTAAAATTGTTATAAAAATATAAAATTCTAATAAAAATAGATAAGTTATAATAATTATTTATAACCATAAACATTCGATACGCTCTGAAGCAGGTAAGTCAAATTGACGTATCTAAATTCTTTGACATCTAATCTTTGACAAGTAGTAAATAAAAGCAAAAATGCAAGAAAAATATATAATTAGTTAATTTAAGTGAATTTCATAAATGATCGGTTTACTACACGTACGTATATTATATAGTCACTTACTAGCGAAAAGTTGTTTGTTCCATTATTTTACTCGATTTTTGCCGAGATCTACCACACGCTACACAACCAACTATTTTAGAGTCTTTTTCGATAAATCGCGATAGTGTCACTGTTAATTTAAGTTCTGCTACAATTTCCATCTAGATTTACTACCTTTATACAACTATCAGTAGTAGAATAAATAATAAATAACATAAACTAAACTCCGTAAAGACTGACAAATCCACAAAATTTCAAATCAAATTCAATGTGTCAAATGAATCGTCAAACAGAACTGTCAAGGATTCCCACCCTAGAGTCCTTTTTCCGCCCACCACGCATGAATATATGGATAGCATTATGCTCCTTAGTCTTCTTATTCAATTTAATAAACACATTTTCCTAACCAAACAAACATTCTTAATGTCAGAGTATATTGCAATATTGCCTATCGTAGTCTGAAATAAAAAAGAATAAAACAAATTAAGAAAAGCTGTTGACAGTGTTTAAGCATAACTATAGAATCTGTATAAGGAGCTAGGGAAGATTTGGACAGAAAAAATGACTAAAATATAATTTACCTTTGAATTAAAAAACGACAACTCTCAAGTCTCACTGTTAGGCAGACTTTATTTCGAGAACGCTGTTTCTATTCTGGGTGCGTCTCCAAAGTGGCTCACCCCTATAACTTTTTTATTTTTTCAGATAAAAAAACTAGATTTGATACATTAGTATATGATATAAATTAGGATTAATTGACGTAATTCAATTATATTTCAATCTAGCAGTGTTAAAAACACACACTAATTTTTAATCAAGGAGTCTTGGAAAAATAGATGTGATCGTCGATAATTTTTTTCGTGTCTTGTCCTGGCCGGTTAAATGCCCTAATCGTATTTTTAATCATATTTTATTTTTTTCTAATGGAACAAGGATGGTTCATTAACATATTTGAAAAAAGCGTTTTTTAAGAATAATTTGGTACCACACACTTGGCATTTCGAGTCAAATAGTTGACATATAATATGTCATTCTATTTAGAGTGTCATTTTTTTATCGAATAAAGTAAAATAAAACAGAGAGTGTCATTTAAAAATCAAAAGTTGTAGTCATTTCCGGTGAAACAGGAAGAGACCAAAAACAATTAATCAATCCTAGTTTATGTCATATACTAATATACCAAATCTCGTTTTTTTTATCTAAAAAAAAATAAAAAAGTTATAGGGGTGAGCCACTGTTGAGATGCACCCGGTATATTTAATAATAGAGTATTTTAAAATTTAGTTCATTTGTGTTTTTAAAAATAAAAAAAAATGTATAAAAATATTGTCCTGAACAAAAAAACTTATTTTTAAAAAGCCAGTGTAACAACTAAAAATAAATATTGACTTTGAATTGTAATAAAGGGTCATCTATATTTTTTCTTTTTGTATTAGCCCTGATAGTACGTGTTTCATAAAATAATGTTTTGTGTTTCCGTCTCTTCAAACAAGCCTAAATCGTTATTACAGCTATTATTTGAATATGTATGCTTCAATAAAAACTTCCCATCGATTTGTACCGTTCAATATTTTTTGTGTAGTCAGTATTAATAAATAAGCTTATAGTAAAAGTTGCGGTCAAAATGTACGCAAATATTTATTTTTTATTTAGTTTATTAATTATATTATTGGAGTAAATAAACACAAGCTAATAACAAAAATAAAGAGCTGTTTAATATCTATCAAGGAATAAAATCTAAATTTCATTTCCATAGAAACGCTTTTTGATTTTTAGGACTAGGAAAATTCCAATTTCCAAGTACCAACCTCTATATTCATATTTTTTTGAATTTTCTTCAAAACGGTATGAAAATTTGGAAAAGTATATAAACTAGATAAACCATTTTCGAACAAACAATTTTTTTTATAAATAATGCATTTTTCTCATTATGTCAATAATAAATAAGTTTTTCCTCTTGTAAAGACAATCCGGGGAGTACATACTGTATATAAAAAAATAGTTCCTCAATGGAATTTATATATTTAGTACAAAATTCTCTGCAATAAATCTTTGTAAGAACTTTAAAACGTTATTCAAAATAATTATTTTGAATTATTATTAATTATTTCTCATAATTCCTCCAATTACGATACACCGTTTGTTATAAGCCTTAAATAAAATTAATTTTGAACGATTCTGACACTTATAAAATTAACTGTTTCCTATTCATTAATTTTATTTAAACAGCATAAACTGATAAAATATGATAAAGTATGGTAAACACGATTTTGGTTATCAAGTTAGCTTATGGATGTTTTCGAAATATACAGGGTGTGCCAGAAATAAGTACAAGTATTTTGAGGGGTGGTAGATCTCGATAAAAGAAACATATTTTCTCTTTATCGTTTTTCAAATAAGTCCAAAATAACCGGAGTTATTTTACTTTGAAAATTTCCTAAAAAAATTTTTGCTCAAATTTTCAGAACCACTGGATCTTTTCTAGGTTTTCGTTGTTATAAATTTAATCCACTACCTATGTTGCCATATTATCAGGAAATTATGAGTTTTAACTAAAAACTAAAAATAATTCCAAATTTTTTTTAAAAAAATTCCTAATTTTCAATTTTTTTTTTTCGGGAAAAAAACCTCATAGGTGTGTTTCTGGGGTTGAACTATACTCCCAGTTAAAATACTTGCACTTATTTCTGGGACACCCTGTATAGGAAAATTAACATAAATGTGTCATTAAAATATTTGCTAATGCATGTCGCAATGTTGCTACGACTCCTTTTTCTTACTTTGATTTTTGCAAAACTCAAGCAAAAATTTTAATTTTTACCTCTCTACCACAATTTAGGGTTAAAAAGAGCTCGCCATATATTCAAAATAATTATGTAGAGACGAGACAAGTTGCTGATTCCGACTATTTAATGATTTTCTCATTTTATTGCAATGAAATTGCAGTTTTAACTAAACAAAACGCAAATTTAATTACAAATTTGTCAAAGAAAACAGAATAAACTTGAAAATGAAAAATGCCAGACTCTAGAAAAAATTTGCCAACAAAAATATAATGACAACCGGTTCTTTTTTAACCAGTTTTATCGTTTGTCTCAAAGTTAAATAATATTGACTAGTACTATATTGGTGTTTTCTGTTGTTTCAGGTACTACAAAGCAAACTCTGTCAAGATTCACACCAGGGCTACAACAAACTGCGACGACACGTGTGCTCACACTCACTACTGTGCTATCACGCGTATAGACTACGATGAGCACAGTCAGTGCTTGAAGATAGCTGCTAGTGCTCTATCTTCTTCCTCATCTTTCACCATATCGTGCGCCAAATTCAAAATCATACTAGCCGCAGTGTTTGTTAGTGTGGTAAGATATGTTCTTTCCAGTGAACTGTTTGACTAAAGTGTCTTTTTGTAATTGATCCGCTTTGTACATTGTATCTAATCATCATTTTATGTAAGAGAAGGTTATTTTTGGAAATTGGTCACATAATGTCGGACTGTTTTTTGAATATAGCTGCATTTATACAGGGTGACTTTTAGAAAGAGTCAAAGAGTATTTAAAAATTTAATTAGAAGAGACGTAATGCTTTTTAGCATAACTTAATAACGTAATTCAGTAATCAACCAAAACTATATTTAAGTCTGTCTAAAAATTTTAAACGTATAAAATAAGGATACATAATATTTTTGTTTAAGTCTTTGGTGGAGCTATATAGAATAAAATTTGGGTTTGGGACCTTTAGTGTTATAACAGCAAAATAAAACACTAATTCACAACAATAAACCAAAACACTTTAATTTTAACACTGGATACGCGTTTTACTAAACATGTTAACATCATCAGCAGATGATTAAAAAACAGTTTTGATCATCTGCTGTCTAGTGTAAAAAGTGTTTTGGTGTATTGTTGAGAGTTTTGTTTTATTTTGCTGTAACTAAATAAACTTGTACACTTTTTTTATACTATACAATAACATTTGATTAAGTTCTGGTCACATAATATACCGGGTGCGTCTCAAAAGTGGCTCACCCCCTAGAACTTTTTTATTTTTTCATATAAAAAATTCAGATTTGGTGTGTTAGTATAGAACATCAAGTAGGATTCATTTATGTATTCAATTGTTTTCGGTCACTTCCTGTTTCGCCGGAAATGACTACAAGGTTTGATTTTTAAATGACACCCCTGGTATTTTGTTACTTTATTCGATAGGAAATGACACTCTCAATATAATGACATATCATACGTCGACTTTTGTCATTTTCGAATATGGTTTATTTGAAATTCCAACATGCGATTCATAACGACAATTTGACTCTAAATAACAAGTGTGGTACCAAATTATTCGTAAAAAAATGTTTCTTCCAAATATGCTAATGAGCTACCCTCGTTCCATTTGAAAAAAAATGAGATAAAATTTAAAGCCAAGACAAGACACTAGAACCCAAGGCTCCTTTTCCAAAGCTCCTTGATTAAAAATTAGTGTTTTTACCACAGCCTTGGCACTCCAGACTGAATATTAAAATACAATTTTGGTTTAAGCGAAAATGTCAAAAATTGACATATAATATGTAATTCTATTCAGTGTGTCATTTTCTATCGAATAGAGTAAAAAAAATACCAAGGGCGCCATTTAAAAATCAATTTCCGGTGAAACAGAAAGTGGCCTTCAATTACATCAATCAATCCTAATTTAGGCCATATACTAACATGCCAAATGTCGTTTTTTATATAAAAAAAATAAAAAAGTTATAGGGGTGAGCGCACCCGGTATATAGGTATATCTATTTTGTAAATTATTCATTTTTTTCTGAATGTATGCATTGTTGAAAAAATATTAATGATGTTTTTTTGTTAAATGTAACAGAATCTACAGTACGTCCCTGGATGGTCTTTACAAAAGGAAAACAAATTTTTAAAAAAATTGAATTTGTTGTTTTTAAAACAATCAATTGTTGTTCTTAAATCGATCAATAGTTGAATTTTGCAAAAATCAAAACGCGTTACTATGGTAATACCATTCATTCTTTGATGTATAATCGAAAAAAACGACGTCCAGTTAGCTAGCAAATGAGCAGCGTTGTTATTCTCCGTTCCCCATATAAGTTTACATATAAAATGACAGCGATCTTCATTACACGGCCTTTGTTACAGCCGTTTTTTTCGATTATACTGTATTAATTTAGACTAACGTCATACTTTTGCGGTTTAAATGCATTAAAGAAACACAAAATTTATTTGGTTCAATGCTACCGGAAAGGTAATTTTAAATGTTGAGCTTGATGAATTTGATGAAGCAATGATGTTAATCAAAATTAATACTAACCATCAATCAAAGATTTTTTTTTCTAAAACGGTAAGAAAATTTGGACAATAATTAGAAACGGGTTTAACCACTTTAGAACCAGCAAAAAGTTTTATACAGAATGCACTTATAATAAAACAATGGTTTCCCTTATAAAGACAATCCGGGGACATACTGTATATCTATCAAAAAAAATAGTTTTCTTTTTAGAACGTGTATTTTCATAGATAGAGATAAAAATAACTATATTCATAAATCATAAATAATATGTGTACCTTTATTATATGTGAAGAAAGTGTTTTTGTGTAGTATTGTTTAAAAGTGTGATTTTTTCACTCAAGACTTATTAAGAAAATATATTTTTTACATTCAATCAAAAACTACCGTTTGGTTTTTCATTTTCATACTTTTAAACTTATTTTACTAAAAATAACAATTTTCAAAATTAAACCAGCTGAAACAGCGAGTATACCAGCCATCTCCGGAGAAATTTATTTTTCGAGATAAGGAGAAGTCGAATGTAACTTTACAGGGAAATAGTCATGTGAACTGGAGGAACCTTTTCTGGAGCAAATGACGTGCCGGCAATTGAATTTCCTCCATATTAGAAAGGCCAATTTATTGGATAAACGTTTCAAAGGGCTTACCGAGTCCATATTGAATAGAATCTCGCACGACGACGTTTGCTTCAAATATAAAATAAGTATTGAGAGAGAATTTTTACATGAAAATCACTTTAGAAAATTAGAATTTTTATCAATAATAGTTGTGTTTCTATTCTATGAGATAGAGATAGTCAGGTTTTATTGAATATGACTATAATGGTGGATAAAATTTTTATATGAGACACTGTATTTATTTGACTATAAGCTTGGTGCATTTCAGTTGATTTTAAAAATTGCGATCGCAGCGTTCAATTTTGTTTTGTTTTGAGCTATTTCCAAAACGTGTCGGTATCTGTACTCGAGGCAAAGGATTTTTTTTCTTCTTAAATCTCAGTGAAGTAAGTAAACCTAAACGTTCCTAAAATAGCTGTTGTTACGATGATATTTCGTTTATGTTATATTGATATATATTTTCCGCAGAATTAATATTTGAACACGCGTTTATTATATGTATAGTAGATATTTAGGAACAAAACTTTTCACTTAAACTGCAGGAATATAATTACAATATTTTTATGATTTAATTTTATTATAATGAATTAATATATAAAATTGTATATGATATTATTATGTTTGTTTAGGCCTTAATTGATTAATATAAGAGTAGTATTGCTGCTGAGTAATACTGGTATATTATCAATATATCTGCTTGGGAAAATTATTAATTGACCCGATGTCAACAAAAGTATGGTCGACGTACATTATTTAAAAGCAATGTTCTTTTATTGTTCTTAAGAGAAATCTGTAAACGATACCCTTATTAGCACCTAGCATTGTTTGATATAAATCCATTCAACTAGTATTTATTATGCTAGGATTTAGACAATTAAAAAGTAGTAGTAAACTAAACTTTGCTACAGACTACAGTACAAATGTTACTTTACCATAACCAGAAATAATAAATAATTAAACAATTTTTTAAATAATTTTGTGTATATTTTGTTCATGAGGCGCAATACCGTGGATTATATAAGCCGATAAATGGTAGACCGCTAGTTAGTCACTGTTTTATATTTTTTTACTATATTGTAATTAATAATATTAGACAATGATTAAAACTAAATATTCTTGTGTAACCTTCGAGGAATAGCGAATTTGATTTACCATCGGTAACTGTTTTCGTATCAGTTTTTCCATGTTTACTTATTTTTCTGAAGCCACCTCAACCTTATTTATTGTTAATCTGGGTTGACAATAAAAAACAAACAACCAATCACGGCGGGTCTCGATCATTTCAGAAAACGTGGTATCTAATTTTTATATCACCGGTTTATATTTATCGTACTATTTTCAGAAATGTTTTGCGAAATGTTTTACGAAATATTTGCAGAAATATTCCGTAAAACATTTCGGGGATAGCACTGTTTAACACTTTTAAAATAGTTACATGAAAATGTTTTCGTGTATTTGCTATTTAAACGCGTGTATTTATTTAGTCCGCTGATTACAGTATTCTCCGACCAACCCTATATAAATATACAAACTTAAATAGCGTGTACACGAAAAAGTTGTTAATATTATTTGAAAAGAATTAATAAGAGCAATGTATGAAAATTCACACAATCTTTGTACCTGAGAATTTTATAACTTCAATAACTGCACTAGTAAAAAACAACATACTTAAATATTACGTCGATTTCAACATTATTTCAATGAGACCAGCATGAACAGTAAGAGACGGCGTGAAATACAGTTCTGATTTCTGCCGCGGCAAGCGCTGCTGTCGGAATTTTAAAAATCGTTTAAAATGCACCAAGCTTATACAACAGTTACACTATTTGTGATTAAATTTGAAAAACCAACCAGAGCATTAATTTCATTCTGAATTTTCAGAAAAAAAAATGACAAAATCATATTTTCTTTAAATATTCATTCATGATATTGGGAAATATTTTTCTTAATAAAAATGTAAATTAAATAACCAACTCTGTAAGATGCTAAACTAAGTAAATAACATCTAAACCTTTGGGTTGGATTCATTTCTTAAAAAAGCCTATGTATTTCACCACTTGAAAAAGAAATCTAAGAAACAAAAAAGTATTTTATGTAAAATGCCACTGTGTTGTACCCAAACGAAAACCAGCTTTGTGAGTGACTTTATACTCAAAAATAAATTTCCAGAACTACAACAAAATATGTATAACGTTTGTAATGACAGTTTATCAGAACATCTACGTGTCTGCTAAGAAAAACAAAGTATTTTCTAAGTACCGTATGATCGAAAAAAAAACGGTGTCAGCGATGGCTATGAAATGAAGATCACTGTCATTTTAAATGTAAATTTATATTTTCGTTTTTAAATGTAAATTTATATTTTCGTTTTTTTTCGATCATACGGTAGTTATACGGGGTGTTCCTTAATGACATGCTAATATTTAAGGAGTTGATTCTTGGATCTATTCTAAGAAAAATACTTCATATGAATGTATGTCCTAAACATCTTAATTTCTGAGATACAGGGTGGTAACTTTTTCGAAAGAAAACTTTTTTTTATAATAACTCTCATTTTATTACAGATATCTTTATGAAACTTGATACACGCCTTCTATGCATCACAATACCTTTTTTAGCGTACAAAGAATTTTATTTGTTTCAACCAGTGCCGTCCATACGGGTTTTACATTAGATATTTTTGGAGAAAAAAGTGGTACACCACTGACTTCTCTTAAAATACAAATTATTTTCAAAATCTCCATGCATTTCTAAGAATTTTTTTTAGTTAAGATGTTTAGGACATATATTCATACAAAGTTTTTTTCTTAGAATAGATGCAAGTATCACCTCCTTAAATATTAGCATGTCATTAAGTAACACCCTCTATTTGAACATTTTAAAATGTTTTTTCTTTTGATTTTTGCTTCTGACAATTGCTGTCCTCTATTCGCGAATTTCAAGTTCCAGAACTTTACGCCCTGGGCTACTCAGAACGGTCCTGAAAGGAGCTGTGCGCGATAGCCTGGTGCCTCCATATGGCGCGGAACAGTTCTGAATTTTATGACTCAATTGAATGGAGTGAGAGTATCT